GGGACCTCGAGACTTTTCGCTGTTTCCGTGCATGGACATGGCTCTGAGGTGCGCCGCGCACGAAATTGTCTCTTTCGATACTCGTCGCTTGGCAGCAAGCTCCGTGGTATGAGCTCCGTGGTATGAGAGCGCAAATGGCTAGGCAAAGCTTTCCCTGCAGATTCTTGCTGGGTATCACGAGCCTTGGCGAGAACAGTCTTTGCGGATTGGAACTGCGTCTCTCTCTCTCTCTCTCTTTCTCTTTTTTCTTTTTTCTTCTTTTTTTTCTTCCTGCCTTCCTTCCTTCCTTCCTTCCTTCCCTTCCTTCCTTCCTTCCTTTCATTCTTCCTCCCTTTTTTTTTTTCTCTCTCTCTCTCTCTCTTTCTCTCTTTCTCTCTTTTTCTCTCTTTTTCTCTCTCTTTTTCTCTATTTCTCTCTCTCTCTCTCTCTCTTTCTCTGTTTCTCTCTCTCTCTCTCCCTCTCTGTCTCTCTTTCTCTCTCCTTCTCTTTTTTGCTCTCTTGTTCACCGTGTTTTTCTTTCTTGTTCTCTCTCATTCTCCCTTCTTCTCTCTCACTCTGTTTCTCTCTCTCTCTCTTTCTCTGTCTTTTCTCTCTTTCGCTCTCTTTCTCTCTCTTTCTCTTTCTCTCTGCTTCTTTCTCTCTCTCTCTCTCTCTTTCCCTCTCTTTTTCTCTCCTTCTCTCTCGCTCTCTCTCTCTCTCGCATTTTTTTCACTCTTCTTTTTTTTCTTGTTCTCTTTTTTTTTCATCTTCTTCTTCTTCATTTTGTTTCTTCTTATCTTTTTGTCCGCCATTGTTTTTCTCTCTCTCTCTCTCTCTTGCTCTCTGTCTTTCTTTCTCCCTTTTTTTCTCTCTTTCTTTCTCTTTATCTTTCTTTCTCTCTATCTTTATCTTGCTGTTCCATTTTTTTCTTCTGTTTTTCGCTGTCTCTCTCTCTCTCTTCTTCTCCCTCACTCTCTGTCTCTCTCTCTCTCTCTCTTTTTCTCCCTCACTCTCTTCATCTCTCTTTTTCTCCTTCACTCTCTTTCTCTCTCTTTTTCTTCCTCACTCTCTTTGTCTCTCTTTCTCTCCCTTTCTCTTTCTTTCTCTCTCGCTCTCTCTCTCTCTTCCTCTCCTTCATTATCGTTTTTTGTTTTTTTTTCCCTCTTGCTCTCTCTTTCTCTCTCCCTCTCTCTCTTTCTCTCCCTCTCTCTTTCCTTCTGTCTCTTTTTCTCTCTTTCCTGCTTTCTTGCCTGATTTCTTTCTTTCTTTCTTTCTTTCTTTCTTTCTTTCTTTCTTGTTTGCTTTCTTTCTTTCTTATGCGGTGCAATCAAAGCCAACAAGCTGTGGACTGATTCCAGACAACAGATGTTGGGAATGCTTCTTAAGAAGCATTCCACCAAGGATCATACTTGACGTGTACCTTGGCTGCTCGGAGATCGATCTCGTCGCAGCATCTGCCTGCCTCTGAGTGAGGGTAAAACATGCGAGTCACAGCTGTGATTGTGAGCAAAACCGGTTGCCAGGCTGCAGTGCCTGCATGGATCTTGGCGGTTTCCGGTTGCTGCTTAGCTCAGCAATCCGCATGGCCTCTCAGCAGTTGGAGCTGTTGCCTGCGAGGTTGTCTGGCAGTTTACTTCCTGGAAGTCTCCGCTGCGCTCTTCATTCGAGGGTGGAAGGAGCAGACCTTTGACTTTGTGGTTCACGCTTGGCCTGCCACTGTGTTGTTGTTTCAGCACCCATTGAGCTTGTGGATCTTACTGAAAACACGGCTTTGAGCTTGTGCAGGCCTTACACAATGCTTGGACCCTGGTGAACATCGCAGCCCTAGTCCAAGGCCCGTGTGTGGGTGGGGCCTCAAACAGGGTCAGAGTTAGCCGTGCCTGTGACACGTCCTGATGGCTTCAAAGCTGCGACTTGGAAACTGGGCGTGCAGAGCAGACTGGGAATCGCCAGGACTCTGTGATCTACTGGCGCGAGCGGCCTTCCCGAATCCGGAGCTGCTCCAAGCGCACGGCGCTTGAGTACTACGAGTCACTAGGGGTAAGCCACACCTCCCCGAGCCTCAGGTTTCGCATTGTCAGAGTGCTCCGAATCGCAAGGCTGGAGCATTCGACGCGAAAGTCAGTGCCTTTTGTTTTTTGGCAGGATACTGCCGATCTTCGAGCGCTTCCGCCTTCTGCGGGAGATGCGCAAGCTTGTGCGAATGATGCCGCTTGGCAGCATGGCGGCGCCTGTGCTGGGCACGGCATGTTGTTCGACGAATGCCCTTGCAAGGCCAAACTCCACCCCCTCAAGCTGCAAAGAACAGTTTTAAGTTTCGAATGTCGGGAGAGAGACCTTGCGCCCAACTCAACCCATTGATGGTTGCCTTGCCTTTTCGCAACAGCCATGCAAGGGTCAGCTGCTGCCGGGCGCTGTTCTGGTCCTTTGTTTTCTGTTTTGTGGCCCGGGGCCCAGTGAGTCAGGGAGTCCCTGCCGGAGGCTGGAGGCGTGAAACGGCCAGGTGATGACCTTCTGGTCCCTCATGGCTGTGGAGCTGGTGCGGCCCCACATGCTCGGCCTGGATGCAGGCAAGACATGGCCCTAAGGGCCCCACGACCAGCCGACCAACCAACCAACCCACCGACCCACCGACCGACCGACCGACCAACCCACCAACCCACCACCAAACCAACCCACCAACAACCAAATGAGCAACCCAACAAGCAAGCAGCAAGCAAATAAACGCGTGTCGAAAGCACTGGAATGGATGGAAGCGAAGCCAAGGCCCTGCACTGGAGGGCTGCTACCTTTGTTCCAGGCCATTCGTAGACTCGGCACGCTGGAGAGCCGACCCAAAGCATCGACAGGAACCTTGACTCCATCATGACAGCCAACCTCTTGCTCTTTAATGTGGTCATTGCTGGTGATGGTGCCTGGCTTTATGCTTTCTGCAAGCGTTGTCGCAATTGGAAACCAGCTGTGGGCATGTCATGATTTTGTCAGGATGGGATAATGCGGTGGCGCCAGTGATCCTGAACCATCCCTGGACGGTGCGGGGTGCATGCTTCATTGCAGCAATGATCAAACTGAGTCAAAGCAGCCACTTATCCGCATGCCATAATCCTTTCCGCCAGGCCGTGATCTTCATCGGAGCCTTTCTCACTATCTTTTTCGGAGTCCTGAACCTGGTTGTTGCAGTCACCAGCTCAGCATTGCCTGACAAAAGCTCGACAAGCATCGCCCTTCCCCTCTTTGCACGCCAACTGAGTTGCGACCAAACACTTTGCGTCGTTTCCAACAGATTGCTCCCTGCAAGCATGAACATTGACATGAGGCATTGAGCTACTTCATTGGTGGTTGTGGAAGATTGCTGGAGAGGTTCCGTTGCTTCTCAGGTTGTGGTCGATGAATTTGCAGAGGCTGGAATCTTCTTAAGCACAAAGCGTGGAACGTTGTGGGAGCTGTCTCTGTTCTGACAATTGGATCTTCAGGCACGACAGAAGGATTTCATCTCCATGGCGCAAGAAATGGACGAGAGCGTGCCTTGTCCGTCTGCCATTGGGATCAGCACCAAAGTACCTGAACCGTATAGCAAAAACATTCGCGCAATACGAGACATGTATATGGCTGTGAATTGTAATGGGGAACCACTTCAAAAGTGGTTGGTGGACAAGCATCCCCACCTAAATGATGTCCACCAAAGGGTCCCTAGTTGAAATTCGTAGCCATATGAATGGGTTCGCTGATCTTGTAGAAAACAAGCTGAGACTCAGCGCGACTTCAAGTTCCTGGAGAAGATTTTCCAAAGAATCGATGAGGACTACATCCTCTGAGTCGGATGTGGCAAGGGGCCTGGAGAGGCATGTGGCCATGGGTGAAATCCAAATCGTACCCCCAGTGCACATCCCAATCCCCACTAAAGTAGGTTCTAAAATGGGTGGTGCACCGAAAACCCGCAAAGTGTGAATTCACCTACCAACCAAAATGGGATCCCAAAACGGTTTTGACAACCGCAGCCATGTGGCTCTCGATTTGTTGCTTCGTCAGGACAGCAGTGGGGCAGTGGACTTTGAGGAGCTGCTGAACGGCGCCAGAAAGGCGTGGAGCTTCATGGAGCCACGGGGGCAGTGGGAGGCGTAAAGCTTTCGATCTCCTTGGGGGTGAGCAATCCATCAATTTTTGATGTTAGCAGGCGTGTCTCTGTTCAGAAGGCCAAGCGTCGTGCGTTACTAGATTTAGACACGTCATGGGGTTATTGTAGTTCCGAGAGGTATTTTCTGTGTTTGCCAAGCATGCACTTTTCTCGTCATGCCAGCAGCATGCTAGCAATCAAGAATCAAGCAAGCAAGCAAGGGTTCTTCCCTGCAGAGCCCTTGGACCAACTTGCGCCGAGCAACTTGCGCAGACCAGCTTGCACAGACCAACTTCAACTTGCTCAGAGCCATTTGCACAGAGTCAGTTGCACTGAGCCATTTGCACAGACCAACTTGCACAGCCCCAGAGCCATTTTCGCAGAGTCAGCTGCGCAGCGCATTTTTTCACAAAGCTTCTTGCGCAGAGACATCTGCAAAGAGCTACTTTTGCAGAGCTACTTGCGCAGAGCAACTAGCGCAGAGCCAAGTGCGCAGAGGCGAGTAGTCTGGGAACAGTCTGGGTATAGCCTCGACTCGAGAACTTTATCGCTTTGGCACGCGCGGATCAACCTTCTGCGGGGATTGGCGTGGTAGATGTCTGCGGTGCCCGCGCGACCCTCTGCGGGGATTCTTCGGTCTCGCCGTGGCCCCCTGCGAAGTTTGTTTCTTTTGCTGCTTGCGAGCCGGCCCTGGGAAGTTGTCTCGTGGGTTGCGCAACTGCTCTTGAAATTGTGCGGTCACGAGTTTGATCCCGGCTGTTGGAAAGTGCAGGCTGGAAAGTCGCAAATCTGCCGTGCGCAAGTAGTACCCGAAGCTCATTCCCGCGAAAAATCGCAACTTGGACAAAGCGACTTGCGCAAAGCGCTCGTGGAGAAGCGACGTACTTGCGCAGAGCAATTTGTGAAGAGCCTCACACAAAGGCACTTGCGCAGAGACACGTGCGCACAGCAATGTGCGCCGAACTATCGGCGCAGAGCAACTTGCGTAGGGGCATTGTGCAGGCAATTGCGCATAGTATTATGGCACATAGAATGTTGCAGAAATGCGTCGAGCAACTTGCGCAGGGCGCTTGCGCAAGACAATTTGTGCAAGGCGCCTGCGCAGAACACTTACGAAGAACAACCTGCAAAGAACAACTTGCGCGCTGCGCAGGGCGCTCGCGGAGATCGACGTGCAGACTCGCGCAAGGGCGCAGACTGTGCCACAACAGCAACTTGCGCGAAGCACCTCGCGCAGAGCTCTCGAAAAGAACCACCTGCGTAGAGATGTTGCACACAGCAACGGCGCGGAGCAAATTGCGTTTAGCAACCTGTGGACAGCATGTAGCATCGCGACGCTGCACAAATGATTTGCGCTTGCACAGAGCCGAGTCTGCAAGTTCTTTAGCTCATTACATGGAACGTTCTCATTTTTGTGGGGCTTGTTCTCACCGCGCTGGGCGGATTGGGGGGCTTAACAAAACTTGACGGCAACATGCTTTCGGGCCATTCATCCTCTAGTTGTTTTTCATTTGAAAGGCTCCGCAAGCAAGCAAGCAAGGCAAAGCAAAACAAAGGCAAGGAAAGCGAAGCAGTGCAGCGAGATGTCTCCGGGAGCCATATTCCTGGACACCCTTTCCAGCCGAAGTGCGGGGAGGTGATAGGGTCAGGTATGAATGCGTGTGAGGAGCCTTCAATTGTGGTGTTGTTGTCCCTGATAAATACACAGTCGTCCCAGTCACTCAGCTCCTGCCTCCCGGACGGAGGCTGAACAACAGCAAGCAGGCAAATGTGGCACGGTGGTGCTTCTGTCAGACGACCATACTTGGTCACACTCGCACACACTGGTACTTATTGATACTTGTTGTCTTTCGTGTTCGATCAGCCTTGGACTTCCCCCCTATATTTTTTTTTTGTGGCTGGCATCTTATTCAATCTAGCTAGCACGGCACACGCTGCACATGAACTGTCCAGTCTCCACCTCCGCATCGAGATCTGCAGGCTATTCTTGTTCCTGAACATGTCAGAGCATATCACACTCGCACCAAGGATTGCACGTGCTGGCAGGGCCAAAATAAAAGACACAGGAAGATATCAACACTGTCGTGGAAAGCGACACAACTCTGAGACCGCTCTGGGCACAATCGTTGAAGAATTCTCGTTCACAGAGACACTGAGAAGGAACCAACAAGGCTCGCAAACGTCACCCATTGAGATGCACCTGGATTGGAACATCATGGAATGACTGGGATGTAGACTAGAGCAACATGCCGCAGAAAACTCTCAAATGCACGTTTTTGAGGCTGGGAATGACGAGGAAACAGTCCGCTAAAAACCACACCAAAACAACAGAGGAAGCAAGCGGAATATCATACCCAACAAAACAGTACGACAGAAAGCACTCAGACAGATTGGGGGGGGGGGGGCGGGGTGTTCGAGGGGGGGGTTATTGAGGTTATTGACGTCATCCCACTCCTGCGCGGTTTGCGGTTTGCTTCAGTTAGCCTGGTCACTGATTTTGCTCGGAGGTGCCTGAGTTTCGACACCGGCTGCGAGTCATGGACATTGACGAGTCGGACCTCAGGTGCACCATGCTTTAGCAAAACGACCGCCTGTTGGCATGCAACAAAGATGCCAGGCAGCTGTTCGCCATGCTTGACAAGGACGGAACTGGCCGCTTGACATTATGCAGTTGTGGAACGTCATCTTTTTATGAGTGTCATGCACCTGGATGCTTCCAGGCTTGAGATGGTCTCACTTGAATGATTCAATGTTTGTTTTAGGGCAAATCGCCACAGTAACAAGCGATCCAGCATGCAGTAAGGAACAATCCAGCCTTCGCACTTCATTTCGGCTCTGAGCCGTTGGCTGCATGATTCGAAAACGGCCTCCCGCTTCGTCAAGTACAACTTGATGAAGGACGGAGCATGCTCTTTAAAGTTGTAGTAACATGCTGGGAAAAGCAAGCCGTGGCTTGAAGCAAACATGGGCAGGCAATGGAGCAGCAGAATGAGATGGGCGACAAGCTGTTGGCCCGCATGGACAGGATGGAGTGCCTTTGCTGCATACGCTCGAGATCCTTTTCCCTGGCCAAATGTCCTTTCTTGTAACGGTTTTGTTTGCGCTTCAACGATCAGATGCTGTTGACACGGGGGACACCTGCAAGACTCGAGCATTTGCTGATTGTGGACATGCTATGCCTTACCGGAGTAAAGACACATGGGTTACGTGGGCTCAAGATGGCTCTAGCCTTGGCTCCCGGTCCTCGGAAATCCAAGTCAGAATGTTTGGTCTTTTCGATCCGGACGACAGGGGCAGCACAAAGCACTAGGCAAGAGTGGTTCAATAGAATTTGAAGATTTTCGTTCTTTTGGGGCAGTTGCCACCTGTTTTTCAAAGGACCGTCCGCTCTTGGCCCTCAGGAAGCGATTCAGAATGCTCTTTGAGGATTTTTCCGACAGGAGATCTTCGCATTGAATTGTGCTTACTGCAAGCATGGCAGTCGCATGGGCTTGGCCCATGGACTCTGCCAGCGCGTCAGGACAACCTCCAACGTAGAGGCGTTGAATTCAGTGCCTCGTCTCTAGAAAACTTTTGAGAGTTTGGCATGGCTGTGCTTTGGCTCAGGCTGTTGTTTCATGTTGTTTCACTGTTCGATGTTCTTGCAGCGAGAACAGCGGCTTCAACTTAGTGGCTTTTCCATGTCAAAGTCCAAGCCTTTTCTTAAAGCAATGGACAGTTGCTCAGGAACCTGAGGTCTTGAAGGAGGCCCAGTGAATCACGTTGCTTCTCCGTTGCAATGAACAGCTTGAGGCATTTTGTGCTGAACCGCCAAAGGGGCAGAAGGCCGTCCGCAACCATTTTGTCTCAACAACTCAAGTCGGACTGTTCCAAGCTTAAAGGGTTGATGGGATGGATGGATATGGGCCACTTCGGGTACCTGAGCTGCGGTGGCTTTGTGGCCAGCGAGGTTTGTCCCCATATGGGCCCAAGGTGAAGCTGCTGGAGAGGTTGGCGGAGCAAGATGCGCTTGGGCCGGATACCTCCGAGTGTCTCGCCACTGGCCTGGAGCCGTTTCGGGAATTGGAACGCCTGGCAGCCGAGTACATGGGCCACCCTGATGCGCCGGATGCGGCGGATGCGGCAGATGCGGCAGAGGGCAGCGCCGAGGCTGGCGAGGCTGAGGCCGGCGAGGCCGAGCCTGCCGAGCCTGGAGCTGACGTGGAGATGGCATCCGTAGCCCCGGCGCAGCCCAAGATGGCAGCTCGGCAGCCTGGCGCTCTCAGCTCACCTCCGGTGCTAACGGACGACGAGCGCACGCTGCGCGGGCTGATGGAATTCTTCGCCTGCGCTGATGTGCAGTTCAGAGACCAGAGCGCCTTGTTCCGGTGCAAGTACCGGGACTTTGTGCGGTGCGTGTTCCAGGTGCTGTCCGCGGAGCAGTCGGCTTCCATGGCCACGGCGGCGGCCGCCGCCGCCTTCAGCGCCGGGGCCGTCTGCGCCGCGCCGAACGCCAAAAGCGCCGACCGGGCGGACTTCGCGGATCTGTGGCGGAAGTGCCAAGACCTCACAGAGCGGCACTTCGAGATGTGCGAGCTGCAGCTAAAGCTGGCGAGCCAAGAGGCCGATCTCCAGCTGCTCCGCGAGAAGCTGACCAAGAACGAGGAGAAGTTCCGGAGAACCACCGCCGAACTCGGCCAGCTGAAGGAGGCCGAGGCCACTGAGCGCCGTCAGCTCCTGGGCCACGCCCGGGTGCAGCTTGCCGCCTTCCTGGAGGCCGAGAACGCGGAGGATGCGACTTAGAGACAGGTGAAGCATGGGCGACACGTGTGATGCATATTCGACACCCGTGGCATCGGCCCAAAAACTAGAAAAGGAGTGAGAGAGAGAGAGGGGGAGCGAGAGAACCGGCGAGAGAGATGGGGAGGGGGCGAGAGACATTGCTTTGCAGAAGGCAGTGCATCAAGACAGCGCACCTGAAGCCCAACTCAAACCATCTGAGCTCAAGGACCAACCTGCCAGCATTGGCCTTAATGGATGGGTGGCTCCATCGCGGGCAATTTTGAGTATGTCGGGCTTTTGCACTTGCTGACTTCACCGTCAATGACTGTGTTGATCGCCAGCAAGTCAACATTTTCTGCGAGGCTGCCTTGCCCAGCATTTCCACTCCTGACTCCAGGAGCTTGTTCGGGGCCAATTGGGCGAAGTGTCCGGCAGTCTGGCAGGGTGTCTTGGCTGCGATATGCACTTGGCAAGCAATGTGTGTTGCACAACTGGTGCCGCCAGCCTTTGCCTTTCAAGTGGTTGCGCTTTGATTTGTGTATTTCTGCAGTGAGCTTCGTCAGGACGGCCTTGCAACAAGCTGTCCCTTGGCAGCATGTTTCTTGGTGTCGTCGTTCTCGGAGGCTTGATTCAGGCCTGCAGGCAGTGGTGTGAGGCGGCGTACACTGTTCTCTTGCTCGCAAGCTCGTGTGTTCTCCCAAGCTCTGAGGAAAGGGTGCTGCAACAATCGCTACAGTCTGCTTTGCGTTTGCTGCAGGCACGGGATTGCGTTGAAGCTGTATTGGCAAACCGTACACTGTCTGGCACGCTCAGGAGGCCATTCTAGAGGATGCTCCAATGCTTTTGAGAGAGCAGGAAGGGCTGCGGCTGAAGCCGAAGTACTCTCCTTGTATCACTTTGCGAGGACCCAAGCGCCGTGGACATGCAGGATGCTGGGCCCAGGCCTCAGGAGCGATGTTGACCGAGCCGAGCTGCCGAGTAGAGACACCCTAGAAGAGGTTTCTATGCGTTGAGCATAAGTCAAATGTACACCTCTCACCTCTCACGATGTTTCCACCGGCTGAGGCCTCCTAGCAGCAGTCGACCGGGTCCATTCCTCTCCGAAGACTTCGACAAGGACTGCAAGTTGCGTAGACGGAGGTGCTGCGTTCCGACGATTCGGTTCGACCCAGCTTCCTGGGTCTCGTAGCTTTGGGACTCGGAAGGAGAGAAGTGCTTTTCAAGAGCAGGCGGGCCAGCTGGCAGTTTCTGGTTTTTCCAAGCCTGGCGAGCCTCCATTGTTTGATGCTTTTGAAGGATAACTTGATAAGTATGTTGCAATCGCTTTATTTCCCTGGCCTGTTGTTCCGTGTCTCTTGATCCTTGACTACCCTTCTGCAAACCTCCTCAACTTCCTTCCTCTTGTTGTCCCTTCCTTCCGGCTTCCCTCCGCCCTTCCAAGTTTCTTTCCTCCAAGTTCCGTCCCTCTCTCCCTCTCCCCGTCTCTCCCTGCACGCCTGCCCGCCTGCCCGCCCGCCCGCCCGCCCGCCTTCCGTCCTTCCGTGCTTCCGTGCTTCCGTCCTTCCGTCCTTCCGTCCTTCCGTCCTTCCGTCCTTCCGCCCTTCCGCCCTTCCGTCCTTCCGTCCTTCCGTCCTTCCGTCCTTCCGTCCTTCCGTCCTTCCGTCCTTCCGTCCTTCCGTCCTTCCGTTCTTCCGTCCTTCCGTTCTTCCTTCCTTCCTTCTCCTTTCCCTTTCTCACTTGATATGCAAAAACACACTGCAATCTCACTGATGTTGCCTCAACCAGTTGCCCGAAACGGTAAACTCTGCATGACATGTTGTTTGGCTAGTAGAGAGAGAGAGAGAGAGAGAGTTCGTGCCAAACAACATGGCTTGCGTGCGCGAGTTTGGACTTGCGTGGCTTTTGTTTGGCCAGGTGTCAGATTCAAAGCAACCTGACTCTCGCGGCCTGATAGGCCTGCGAATGAGAAGAGCCAACCATGCCAAGCTGAAGCAAATTCGTTCATTTTGGGAGCATCAAGGGAAGATCCAAGAATTTGAGTCTGCAAATCATGAGTCCTGGGCAGCACTTGCTGGGTGCAAGTGACAGAAATTTATTTTGAGTCCAGAGTCAAGCCATACTCCTGTCATTAGGGCTTGTCTTTCTAGGTGCTGAAGCATGCTTATTGATTGATGAGCCAGTTGCAGGTCTCTTAACCAAGTTCTTCTTAGGTTTTCATGCTGGTTCTTTTTCCACTTCAAGATATACCAACCAAAACGTTTTGTGCGATGTAGACAGCGAGTGCAGTTTGATTGCACACGCTCAGGGTCTCTGCGCTGGCATCGGATCCAGGAGACGTGACATTTTTATTGTTGGCATTTTTCATGCCGGCCGGGCCCGGGCGGGCGGCTGTAAAATAAGAACCGAAGAACTCCATGCGCTAATGTAGCAGCTGCCTCACAGGGTAGGCAGGTTCCAGGACGATGAATGAGCCAAGTGGCTAAGCCATTTCTGCTCACATGATTTCAAGAGCCAGACGGCCAAAGCTATCTGGCAAAGCAGTATGTCTGCACTTGACAAACGCGATATCTTGCATCACAACTTACAGCATCCTGAAGAAGGATTGTGGCGTTCCCCCTCCTCTCCATGGATTGCACTTGTGACATGTTGATCGGATTCAGTCTGTGCTTGGAATCCTGCAGCCGGATTGAATGCACAATGGACAGCTGTAGCTATTGAGATTGCCCTGGTGTGTATTCTTCAGCTGGTTCTTTTCTATTTTCTAGGAAGCCCTGCTTCGTTGTCAAGAGCAATGTCGGCTGAGCGACTTGATCACACAACATATTTGGGGTGGTTGCCACGAACAGCTGGAATTCATCTCTATGCTTGGGCCTGCAGCTGTTGCCAGCCGCAGCTGTTGCCAAAAGTCAGAGCAATGAGCTGCAAAGAGCAGATGCAAGGTAAACGGAGTGCCGGCATGTGAACATTCCGACATTCAGCCTGAATTACACCAGCCAACAAAAACCTTGTTGCTGCCACATCAGCAAACTGTCAGTCATATCAAAGATCATTCCATTGGATTCTGATGAACACTCGTCATGGCCGGCCCTCGGGCGTGTTTGTTCGCGCCTGAGGCAGGGAGCTCTCGTTGAGCCTGAGTGGCAATGGCTTGAGTGGAGAGATCGACGCTGTTCGAAAGGTGCTAATTCACTCGTCCCAAACAAAGACAACAACAGATACATGCACATGTTGACTTTGCCGCGCTTCAACTTGCATAGCTAGCAGTTTTCTATCGCTCCATGGCGCTTGGTGTTAGGAGCTCGGTGGCTTGCTTATTCGATCGGGTGGGCGCTGGAAGCTCTGGAAGGAGCGTGCCTTGGCAGCTTCACAGAGATCATCCACCTGTCCCGCTCCCTCTCCCTTGGTCTTCCTCCCCCGCCTTTCTTCGGAACTCTGGATACACGTGCCAGAAATGAGGTATATCTCAGTAAAGTTGCACGCCGTGGCTTCCCACCATCGTCCCCCTCAATTTTTGTGTGTTATTTGCTTGGTTTGAGAAGGCATGATTTGTTGGGGGAAGGCTCGGGGATGGGGGTCCAGAACCTTGATTTCTTTGTCTCTGTCTTTGTCTCTCTCTGTGTCTCTCTCTCTCTCTCTCTCTCTCTCTCTCTCTCTCTCTTGCTCTCTCTCGCTCTGCCTCTCTCTCTCTCTCGCTGTTTGTATCCATTTCCTGTGGCGTGCTCTTTTTGTCCGTCTTTCCTCCTTTGCATCCTTCCCTGTAATCATTCTTCCCTCCTTCCTTGCCCTTCGGATGCCTCGTCACCAGCACGTCCACACAGATCCATTCAAATTCATGGACTTCCAACCCCCCGTCACTAAGTCCCTATCAATATCTTTTGGTCTGGGGGAGAACCCAAAGAAGCATGAGCCTGGGCTGGGTGGATCAATCTGAGGCGAAGCGGCTGTGGAGCTCTATCACAATGACGAGAAGGAGACCTACACGGCAGCTTGCTGGGCACCGCCTTCACAGGCGGGAGATCTGAGTCGGAACGTTGCCAGCGAGTGTTTCTTCGCATTTGGTGCTTTCTTTGGCACGAAGAATGAGTCTGTGCAATGTTTCCGCAGGTTTCATATATGTAACCATAAGTATATCTAGAGTTTTATGTGCTTCCTTTGGGAGACGGTGAGTTTCTCGAGGCCTGGCTGGTGCTGGGCTGCGCCAGCGGCCGGCTGCAGTGTTGGGAGGCATCTGCTGAGCTTCTGTGCCAGGCAGAGGCCGCCGGAAGGGCGAGACATGACACTGAAGTCAAGAGGTCAAGTGCTCTTAGGTCGAAAGTTGACCCTTGTCACACCTGGCTTCTTTGAGCAGAGGCGCTTCAATGCAGATCTGCGAAACTAAACGGGAGTTGATCTCTTTAGTCTTTGCAGCCTGTTCACCATGTCCCGTTCTTGCCTCGCTTCCCTTGCCAGGCCTTCCGCACCTTGGCTCGAGGTGCCGAGAGCAGCGTGACCGCGCTGGCCGCGGTCGCCAAGCGCGGCACCGTCTTCGCGGCCTGCGCGGGAGTGCCGGAAGTGCTGGAGGTGGGGGTGGCGGATGGCATGACGAGAAGCTCCTTCCGCAGTGGCAAGACCAGCGCTCAGCTTTCAAGTTCGCAAGTTGGCTTCGCGGATGTCCGGGAGTTCCAATCCTGCGCTTCAGGACCGGACTCTGTGGACTGGCGGCCACATCCTCTGATGCAGATTGGCTCTTGAGTGCGTCTCCTGGAGCTCCTTTGAAGCTTTGGCGCTTGCCAGCTGCCGGGGCTGTTCTGACAGATCTGAAGAAGGCAGGGTGCGCTGAGGGCGTTTGGATGGGCCTTGTCTTTCGTAACGAATTATGCAAAACGGCTGGAGCCCTACATCTCACGACGCGGCAGGCGAAGAAGCGCTTCAAGGGCCCAGCGCAGAGTGCGACCTGCCTGGAGCTCCTCTGCATAGAGAGGCACATCTACGCGCTGTGCGCAGATGGCACTGCACAGGCGGTTCTGGGGGGCGAACCTGACAACTGGCATGGATGGGCAAGAGTGTCTTTGGAGCTGCACTTGACCTCGTTTGGAGACCCCTGTGATTCAGAGGGAAGTTCTAGGGGCAAGCTTGCCACACTGTTGCGTGGAGTTCTGAGCGTTGCCCAGGTTTCTCGGACTCAACGAATTGCGCTCCAGAGTTGCGGTCCCCAAAGAAAGGGACCCCTCTTTGGGATGTTTCTTGAACGTGAACCAGAGTGAACTGAATCCCCTCCGGGGACGGACTATTTCAGCAAGCATATAATCGCGGAAGATTTCCCTTGGAACTGGCATGCCCAGGTGGAATTCTTTGATGCTGATATGGACAGCGAAGGACCAGAAAGAGGGGCAACGGGTGCCGAAAAAGGGTGCTGTGAACCAAGCCAGAAGCCAATCCGACAACCCTAAACGAACCGTACACCACCACAAGCCCTAACCCGAAACGTGCTGCAGACTTCTCTTAAGACTGTCCCTCAACACATGGCCAAGCCCACCCTACACAAGCCATAGCAATGCGTAAGCAGACTCCACACCAACCGAAGCCCACTCCGCACCCATCCCAACTTTAGACCAACCTGAAAACCTAACCCAAAACAAAATGCAGGCTAAACTACCCGCAAACCACCACTCCCCGAACCGCACACCAAAACAACCCAAACCCACTCTTTACTCTTTATCAACCCAAAATCCACACTAAACCAAGCCTAAGCCCACCCGAATCTAGTCCTAAACCCGCTCCAAACCAAGACGCATAACGCAGAAGCTCACTTCATTCCAAAGAACCCTCTACACCCATTCCTGTTCAACGCTAAGCCACCCTATGGCAACCCTACACCCACTCTAAACCAACCCAAGCGCCGCTGACATGGGAAGTTGCCTGGGAAGCAACAATTACCCAGAGTGAGGGAGGAAACAATAACCGCAACAAAAAGGCACCCTCCTAACTGCACACCGCCCTGGTTTTTGGAAGCTCAAATCCTCCGTGTTTTTGATAGGAGAGAACGGCAAGCAAGCGCCTGCGACCTCAACGCGTGTCCTTTCATGCCATGAACGCCTTGGAGATGTGCGCCTGGCCAGACACAAAGCAGGCGGAGATATGAGTGAAATGCTGGATTTGCTTGCATCATTCTAAGCACTGAAGCTTTGGCCACGTGCTGGCCACTGCTTGCAGGTGGTTCACTGGGCCTCTTGGCAATAGGCTACGGGGCTACCATCCTGGCATGCTGGACCTTCGATGCAGGCGCAAAGCTGGGTCTGGTTGAAATACAAATTTGTTCAACTTTGCCAGGTACACATGCAGCAAGAACAGCCGGAGATCTCAAATCAATCCAGCCTACTTGGTGAGAGACACAAGCTAAAGCGTCAAGGCCGAATGCTGCATCCACTATTCTTATCCATGGTCCATTCCCATATCTTTGAAATTTAGATTGAATCAATCCAGCAGGCCGTACAGAATCCAATGGAACTCATGCAAATCTCCAAAGCGAGCGGATTCCTCTGGGACGGTCTGAGGTTGTTCCCACCTTCACCGTATCGAAAGCAGAGCCAGGCTCTCAGTGGATTCAGCTGCTTCAACGCGGAATGCAAATGCAATCAAGTTGGCTATCTCGAGTTTAGACAAAATTGACAGCTAGACAGAAGTTTTGTCCCAGGCTGGGAGGGTCAGTCTTATGTGCACGAGGACCGAGCATGATTTGCGCTTAGTTGCGCTGGGTTGGAATCAGCCGCTTTGCAGGCATGTCCTTGTCTCATGGAAGGGTTTACTGCACCGCAGAACGACAGCAAGCAACTGAAGTGTGACTGTGTTCTCTTTCACAACAGCTTGCGGCACAAAACCTAGCAATGTATTGCAGCTGTCTATGTTACAATCGCCACGAGAAAGCGCTGTCACAGGGAGAGTCGGGAGAGCTCGGACCTGCAAATGCGGGCATGTCTTCTTCAGAAATGATCAGCAAAGCACTTGACTCGCGTTTCTTTGCAGGAGTGAAAGGGTTCGGAGCCTCAGCGATCGAGGGTTCTCAATCGACCCTGCCTTGCTCTCCGTGTTAACAGCTCGAGAGGAAATGAATCCAAAAGACTTTGCAGAAGTCTAGATTCTGCAGGCGTTTCCGTTCTGCCAATCTCTACTTGCATAGGCGCGACAGCGAGTTGTGTCTGCTGGTGGCGCACGGGCCGGCGGCGCGGCCCTCGTTCAGTCAGGCGCCGGCGGCAGCCAAGTTTTAAAAAGTGGGATGGTAGGGCGTTGCAGCCTGAGGCTCCTGAGGTGTCCAGATCCACCATGTGACTGCAGCCGTCAGGCTCAAATGAGTGAGGTCTCGATGACGACATCGTTGATGCATTGGACAGGAATCTGACTAAGGGGCACGCCTCCTTTTTGTCAAACAGAGCCATACTTACAGGAATGAGCAGATTGTCCACATTGCAAATATTGCGCATTCCAGCTCAAGCGATGAATTTCGACACACGCGTTAGATGACTGTGGATAGTTCGACGCCTTTTGCTCCGATGGAGGGCCGCGGGCCTGGCTTTGCCGTTTAGTTCCTGGAACCTGACATGTCTCGCTTGGCACGTTCCCTCAGGAAGATCCTCGTGGACTCCGGCAGCTATCGCCAGCGCCTCAGCTTTTTTTTCAAGTCTCATTGGCCTTCACTTTCGTTTGAGGCGCGTTGCGTTGTGCTGATCTTGGGCTGCCATGTTTGCTGGTTCCCTCCTTAGGGGACGAACAGCTTCTTTTTGTGGCAACTCGAGCTCTGCACCTATCAAGGTTTGCCTGCGCGCTAAGCCCATCAGCAGGTCAACCTTGGCAAGGAACGGGCGAGACTGAGGGGCTTCCGTTTGAGCGCTCTGGGCAGGGCCCATCGCTGTGGCGATTCTGGCGCTGCTGGCCGCGTTCACTGCGGAGAACTGGCTTGCGCTGGCGCTGGCGATTCCCTCAGTCTCAATCTAGGTTCTATGTCTCTAAGTGAAGCCGGAGTGAAGTGAGGCAGATTGTCGCGTGGAGAGATACGGTAGTGTGTTTCAGTGCAAGGCGTTTGCACCCGGGATTGGAGTTGTTGCATCATTGGTCTAGCAACATCATCAGGACTGAGATGTGCGCATGATTTCATTTCAGTGATTTGCGCTGATCGTCGCGGGCTTGTGAGGGATGATCAATTTATCACCGCGCATGTTCCTCTCTCGCAGCAGCTTAACCAAAACACAGACATTGTTCCCCCGAAGCCCGAGACCCCTGACCCCCAGAACCCGCAAAGGTATTTGCGGTACCAGAAGCGATCACCTGCTGAATTCATGATATGCTATGAGAAGTGTCAGAGTGTGTGTGTCTAAGCCTTTCAGCTGTGCATGTTTATGCAAAAACGTGAACTGTGAGCAACCAAAGCGAGCTTTTGCTGGTTTCTGAGGCTTTAGCCTGGATGGCATGGCTACACAACGGGTTTTCTGGAAATCATCAATTCAAGTCCCTCTCCCGCAAACCCCCAGCCTTCGGTCCTTACTCTTATCTCCATAGTCACAATGTGGCTAAGACCATCGCCCTCTATGTGCTGCTGGGCTTGGTGGCGGATGCACAGCTGCACTGGTTGGTGGCCAGGGAGAGTAGGTGGTGGCAGGGAGCTTGCAACGGTAT